CCCCAAACCCCAAAACCCCAAAACCCCAAAACCCCACATAAAATGTGGATGTTAAATTTATTTTTAAAAATGGAGAACCCTGCCTTCTCACCTAAGAATTTGCGCAATTTGATAGATGAAATTGAGGAAATAGTCCATCAAGACCTTACTAGTTGACAAGTTGAAGCAGGTAAGCCTCTGTCTCACGCATAGCTATCGAGAATGTCAGACATTTATCTGAGTTTCTGATATATTCCAAGAAAAAGCAGTTAACGTATTTTGAGTTCTTTATTGAGAAATAAGGTCCTAGATACTTTTTCAAATATCCTGATCAAGTGTAATAATGATATCAACATCCAGCTGATCCAGACAATGAGCATTCTGATCCAAAACATTGAGAACGAGCAAGATTACTATTATTTGTTTTCTCATTCGTTCCTGAATAAACTGATATCTTTTAATTTCGATCTAAGCGAGAATAGCGAGCTAGTTACTTACTATATTTCCTTCGTAAAGATGCTATCAAACAATCTGAATGATGTTAGTGTCCAGTTCTTCTTCAACAAATGTAATGACTTTCCTCTGTATCGTGCAGCTATTAGCTTGTACAACCACTCAGATCCCTTGGTCAGGACAGGAGCAAGGACGATTACATTGAATATTTATCGGAATTGTCAGGAGAACATGCTTGATTGATTGTTATCTCTCCCTTATGGCTCTTACTTCCCCAATCTAGCCACTCAGTTGATGAATTATTGGAAGCAAATAGACTGTAACCTAGTAGAAGCTGTTGATTTCAATTCCCTTAAGGATGAATTAGAAGACATAAATGATCTTCTCATGTATTTTCAAGATATATTTGAAGAAAAAATACCACAAATTACTAAAGCTCTAGCCAATAGTCTCCTGTACTATGCGTATTTCCCTGGCTTGGTTGGCAGTATAGGAGATTATAAGAAAGAACCTGAAATCAAGCTATATCCAGCAATAATTTTCTTTCTAAATCAGACTTATAACTACATCAAAGAACCATTGTTCATTAATTCACTCTCTTTGGCTATCTTCTTGCCAAATATATCAGAGCAATTTGTGAAGATTATTTCAAGGAATGCCAAACCTCCTCTGAGCTATCGAGACACCTACGTAAGGAAAGTGGGATCTATGAACCTGTACCATTATGCTGAAGAAAATTTATCAGTAGTTTCCCTCATAGAAAGAATAATGTAAGTTTCCTATATTATTTTCAGAAACTCAAAAGATGGCTTCCTCGATGAAATCATAAATGAATACAACAAAATCAGAAAGGAAAAGAGAAGATCAGATGAACCCATTCTCGAAGATCCGATCTCTCTGAAATAAGATAGCCATAGGACTCGTAGTAGAGGCATTGCCAGACACACAGAGAACAAGGATAATCAAATACCATACTCAACTCTCTATAGCACTGGGGAGGCCTACTGGATTTCTTGAGAAAGATCGTACCTTTTTTTAAAAGTATATAGATTGTTTTGGATATATTTCCATCACAGATATCACCAGCGAAATTATCAACTCAATGTACAGAAATAGGTACAGGGACTATGTAATCAAGAACAAGCACATTGGAAACGAGAGCTGAAAAGATCTGATAAAAGCATTGCTTTCAAAAGATGAATCCTTAGTCCTTCTTCTCAATTCCTTATTCTACACCTACATAGCCTCAGATACTGTTCATCCCTGAATTCTTTACCATTCAAGACTCTACCCCATAGGAAAAAACAGTGTCAAAAAGGCTCCAGCCAAAGCTGGGGAAGACCATGTTCCATTCCTTATTGACCAACACAAAAAATCAAAATGCTCTGACCAAACAACTGTTGAGAAACTTAAGAAATAAGGCAATCAAATTTAACCAGAATTTATTAAAGGTCTATAATAAGCCTAAATATGACAAAGGCATTTTAAAAAATATTCTGAATTTGTGCTGATCAGATCCCCCTTTCAGGCAAATAACCTTCAAATTTCAAATCATGGTGTGATATTACCTGACTTATCACCAAGGCCTTTCAACCTGATTGTATCAAGAAGAGTTTGATATCTTAGCGAATGCCTATAAGGCCAGTATCAGAGCCATTACCAGCTTCTCCAAGGATTTTGAAATTTATCAGCCTTTCCTTGATATCTTTAAACATGAATATGACAATTTCATTTTCAATGACGAGGATGAGATCAGGAAAATAATAAAAAGTCCTTGAATGCTAGTTCCTATGTATGATATTAAGAACCAAACACATTTTCCAGAGATTCTTAAGACAGACGATACCAAAATACAGCAGCTACAGAACCAAATCCGAAGGTTTCTCACTTTGGGATACTTTTTGAATAAACTGAACCCTCACCAATTTCGACTAAGTCTCAAAGAATACCCCTTCAACTTCGAAGAAAGAGATACTTCTTCATGGAAGATTGGTCAAACTATAGTTATTAATGAAAACTATTCCCTTGTAATGTGTAATATCCAAGAAGATGGGATATTCAATCCAAGGTACATAATCCTTGACCCTGAATTCTTCATACTAGCTGAGCAGACAATAGATAAAAGAGGAAGGATAACTGCTAAAATATGCTTAAAATATGTCTTAAAGGACCTACAAATAAACGAGCATCCCTCTAACTCTGCTGCGTTACAAATTGGAGTGACAGAATATACTTATAATAGCAAATGAAAGCACACATCTCTTTATCTGTATTTTAAGAGCAAGTCAAATACTACTGCTTTCAAAGATGTAATAGATAGCTACCAGAAGCAACAGAGGGACTTCATAGATATCCAAGTATCCTCCTTCTTCGAGTACTGTCTTAGTGCAGCGGAATAGGATGCTTTTATTATAATAGTTCCATTTCAACCTTCTATTTTGAGCCAGGGGTTTTGGGGTTTTGGGGTTTTGGGGTTTTGGGG